AGGGTCCTGTTCATCCTTTCTGCTACGCCCTGTTGTTGATGGGCGTAGGGAAGGGAAATTAGTCGCTTGATTCCTCTCTTTGCCAAGTACTGCTTGAGCCTTTGTGACGCGTATTCTCCTCCCCCGTCAGACAGGAAGCTCTTTAGCTTCACGCCTGACCCCCGTTCTGCTACTGGAAGCCATGCAACAAAGGCTTCGAAGGCCATGTCGCGGCTTGGAAGATTGAGGTGCCAGACATATCGTGTGGCGGCATCGATGAACGTGATGACAAAATTGTATGCTCCTTGCCCAGGTTCACGGTTGTACAGGATGTCGCTGTACACTTTCTCCAGAGGTGCGTATGCTGGTGCGCTCGGGTTGTGATGCGAGACGAATGGCTGATGCGGTAAGTCAGCTTCGGGGCAGGTGAAGCACGTTCCGCAGACTCGCTGGAGTTCTCTGCCGTCGGTTAAGAGTAGTGAATCCTTGTCGAGCACGCCTGCTCTTATCGTGTTGTTTAACGTCGTGTTGCTTGGATGTCCCATTCTTGCGTGCCAGGTTCCTTCAGTAGCGCGATGTCCGGGTGAACGTCTGTACAGGTCGGAGTTGGAGTAGAAGCCTGTGGTGAAGTTTGCGCTTCGATGGACTTCCCGTGGAGTTGGATTCACCTGCTGCGCGGGAGTCGGTGGTGTGTTGTCGACGAAGACCGGTGCCGTTGAAGGGCCAGCGATTGGTGCCGATGTTGTCTCTGCTGCTGCCGATGTTGTTTCTGCTGCTGTCGAAGTTGTCTCTGCTGTTGCCGATGCTGTCTCTGCTACTGCCGATGTTGTCTCTGCTGCTGCCGATGTTGTCTCTGCTGCTGCCGATGTTGTCTCTACTGCTGCCGATGTTGTCTCTGCTGCTGTCGATGTTGTCTCTGCTGCTGCCGATGTTGTCTCTGCTGCTGCCGATGTTGTCTCTGGTGCTGCCGATATTGTCTCTGCTGCTGCCGATTGAATTGTTGCTAATGCTCTTGTTCTTTCTGTTCCAGGTATGGTGTGTGAATACCAAAAGCCGCCGGGACTGAAGTCAGGGTCAAGGTCCGGTGGGTGTGTCCAAGAGGGGAAGGTCACGATTCCATCGTTGTCGGCGGTGCTTAAGTCTGGAACGAAGTCAAGAACGAAGACGTTGTTCTTCAACACAGCCTTCCCGATGTAAAGTCCGCCTTTCCCGTGGTATAGTTTGAACTCCTGAGTGGTGCTGTCCGCTTCGAGGTGAATGCCTTTCGCCAACAGTTGACTCACACTCAGTAAGTTGTAGCCGGGTCCCTCCGCGATTAAGACCTTGGACATCTGCAGTATTACGTTTGTTTCTCTTGACTGAAGTTGAACAACTCCTTGTCGTCGTGTGCGCAGATTCTGATTATTGGCTACGGTGATGACGACTTCGCGCTGGAGTTGATGTTCGCGTTGAACGAAGCGACCCGAGGAGCACATATGTTGTCCGTAGCAGCTGTCCAAGAACCAAGTGTCCTTCCTGGACGGCTCGCTCTGGGCGATGGCTGCGTATGTCGGGTTCGGCTCCAGTGTTTCACGACGAGGAGTGCTCTCATCGAGCAGTTCTTCTGGTGAGTAGTGTGGTGGTGATTCGGTGATGCAGGAATCTGACAGTCTCGCCATGCAGCTCACGATGTTTCTTGCTCCTTGTGCAGGTTGTGTCAGTGATGTAGTTGAAGACTGCGTCTGACTCGTGGGGTGCGCCTGTGTGGATGCTACTTGGTTGCTTGAAGGACGAAGTCGACGTTGCGTCGGTGTTGGCTGCTGTCAATTCGGGCAGTGTGTGCGAGGGTGTCCTGATGTCTTGCAAAGATGACAAAACGGAGGTACGGGTTCTGGTTGATGCCGGTTGTTGTTGTTGTTGAAGCGCCGTTGAGTGTGGAATGCAAATTCGGGTACTGACGTTTTCTTCTTATGCCGCTCTTCGTGCAGGTCCATGTCTTGTTTATCGGCGTGTATTTCGGCGCAGAGTGCTGCTTCAGAGATTTTTCCATGAGCTCGGAGTATGGCATGGGTGGAGCGCCAGTGAGGACCAAGACCGGAGATGACGACTGTGACGAAGGCTTCTTCAGATATCGATCCTCCGCATCAAAGAAGTTTGTCGCGCAATTCGCGACAGCGGCTGATATACGCCATTCCCTTTTCGCCCGGTTTCATTTCGACTGTTGTCAGCTGTGCCATTAATCGACTTTGATTGACGCTGTCTGTTGCTTGATACAGGTTCTTCAAGTGGTTGTACGCGAGCTCGGCGGAGTTGCCATATCCTCGATAAGACCGAATATTGTGCTGCTGGTTTGGAGTTACGTTCCTCAGCAGGATCGTGTAAGCCATCATTGACTGATATGTGTACTCCTGCTTGTCGTATTGCGTTCCGTGTGTTGGGTATGGCAGGGACCCGTCGAAGAATCCAAGTATCTGCGCGCCTTCCATCATCAGCTCAAACTCGAATGACCAGGTATAAAAATCCTTCCCCTCAGAAGGTGTTGATGTTTGAAGTTTTAGAACGTGCGCGAACTGCGACTGAACTTGAAGTGCGTACAATGTCTTTTCTTGTCCAGGTGAGGTCTGTTGGCGCGGCATGAAGCTGATGGAGCCGCGCTGGGGCTCGTACGGAGCAAATGTGGGTTGCTGTTGGTTTCCGCGCGCATAGGATGAACCGTCGAGGCTCATGGGCGTAACGTCGTTGTTGTTGTTGCTGATGTTTGACTGCGCAGGTGCCGCTTGCTGGTGTTGTTCGTAGAATGACATGAAGGAGAAGAACTTCTCCATCATGCTTGGGTCGAAGCCCGCGGCTTGATTTGCGGGAGTTTCAGTGGACCCAGCTGCTGGTCTTGTTGCCGTGCCCTCCTCTGTCTGTAGGCCAGAGGCAGGAGGTGGAGTAGGAGTAGTACCGGGAGAGCCGTTAGAGGAGCTTCTCTCCTTCTGCGTTCCCATGCCTTCTAATGTTGTAGGTGTCTTGGAAGTAGTTGAGTTTGCCCTGATAGCTCTCATACCATGTTGGGCTGAGAAAAAGCCCTTAGGATCTTTGCATGACTAAACTCTGGGTAGGAATGTTGTAGTTGCGGAAGCGTTTTATGAGAAGTATTGAACCACCTTGCGCTGGTATGTGAGAGCAAAGTAGATTAATTAAAACAAGAAGATACAAGGTTTTATAAGAGTACAAGGAAAGGAATATGAAAGGATGCAGCTACCGGTAATAACTATTTTACTGTTGCTGTTGCGGTTCGATATAGTGACGACTCGGGCAACTGCTCTGTATCGAGTCAGTTGTTTGTCCTTGCTGTCGTGCTGTATTTGTCAAGTCAAGGTCGCTGACCTTTGACCTTCGCGTAACCTCCAGCGGTTACTTCATTTGTCAACCTCCGATAGTTGACTCGCCGATGTTTCGTTTGTGCTTCGCTTCGTTTACGACTTGATGTTTCGACACAGCAGAAGCGCTTAAATCACTTGTTTCCAACAGGACAGAGGGTGGGTGCGGACAGGCTGGATGGAAGCCGTGGCTGTATGTGTGTGTGTGCACTTTGGGGGGAAGAGGGTGGGGGGGAGGAGGGTGGAGGGGAAGAGGGTGGGGGGGAAGAGGGTGGGGGAGAGAAGGGGGGCGTAGCCATGCCGGGGGAACTGGGAGGGTAGAGCAGTTGTGTGAAGGTGGGTGTGGAAGGGGTAGAGTGAAGAGAGTGAGATCAAAGGGAGAGGAGGGGGCAGAGTCCCAAGGAGTGTGACATATGTACGCACACAGGTGCTGCACTGCTCACCCCTGTGGCAGCACTGCCAGCACTCAGAGCACTAGCAGCACTGGCACCGTACCATACACATGGCCTTGTCCCTCCCCCACCCCCAAACCCAATCCCCTCACACCACATCTCCCCAGATCCCCTCTTGCCCCACCCCCCCCCAAGCCCCTGTCCCTTGCTTGCAACCCAGTCTTAACCCCAATTCCCAACCCCCCACCCCCCAACTCCCCAGCCCAAAAGCCCCAACCCCACAACCCCCCAGCCCCCAACCACCCAGCCCAGTCTGAGCCCTCACTGTCCCTTGCCTCCTGCCCTGCTTGCCTCCCTCTAGTTCTGCCGCCCTGCCACTCTCCCTCCACGTCTGGCAGGAGAAGTTGCTCCAATGGGAGCTGTTATGTGATGCCATCATCTGCATTCACGTATGTCTGCCTCCCATCATATGTTCGTGCGTTGCATGCATGGTGTGAGCGTGTGCAAGAATTTGTGTTTGATGTGGTTTGGTTTTTCTGAATGTGTGTGAATGTTATTTGGCTTGAGCAGATATCTGAAGTGACTCCTCTGCTCAAGAGCTTTCCGACGAACCAAGTATCGCTTCAATCGGAGCACGAACAAGAAAGTTACGAACGTTGGAAGTTCGTATGCTTTTGATATTTGGTTGTGGTGACTATGGGAAGTTGTGGGGTTGACTCCATAAGGGGTAGAGACTTTTGGGGGTTGGGAATTTCGTCCCCATCACTGTAGATGCTGCCAAGTGGTTGGGAGAAACCAAATTGGGTTGGCAAGTGTGGCCAACTTGGGTGAGGTGGATTGTGGAGGTTGGGAAAGTGACAAATGTCAAAGTTGGGGTGCCTATAGAGAGGGGAATTGTGTGGCATGGGGTTTCCTTGGTTGGGGACTTTCTTGGGACCTTCCCTCTCGTCCTCTTCATCCCCTTCCACCTGGTTTAGTGCCACTCCAACTTTCTTGTGTGAAATTGTGAGACTCTTGTGATTGAGTTAAGATTCTATGGCAGCATACCCCCTAGTGCGCCGAAATTCATAACTCAAGAAATACTTCACCTTATCGTACGATTCAAATTGGGAATTGTAGCCACGGACTAGGGCTACAACATGAACTTTTCGTGTTTGGTGAAGTTTTCACCGTGAACTTTTCGTTGACGGCGTTTCTTGTGAGCGCGACTATTCTGTCCAGAAATTGAGACCAACGATTTTGTGATATTTCGGCTCCTAATCTTCGTAGACCTCGTCCTTAGTCTCTAACAGGAGCTCGCCACCTGGCGGTCAGACAGCCACATGTTGGTGCCGACGCCCTGAGGGAGGGAAGGGAAAAAGAATGAGGGGGGACGAGGCGGTGTGGGGACGCTGTGAGTGTGCGTTAAATGTGAGGGGCAAGGAAAAGAGAAAAGGGGAGGAGAAGAGCAGGGGGGGTGGAAAGTGAGGGGGGGTGGAAAGTGAGGGGGGAAGGGAAAGGGATTCGAGGAAGAAAATGGAGTGGAGGGAAGCAAGGGGAGGAGTGATGCGGATTGGAGGCATGGCAGTGAGGGACATTGGAGAAAATACAAAGAAGGGCGCGAAGAGGACGTGCAGTGAGAGAGGCATGGCATGGTGTGCACAGACGTGCAGATCGGCAGGAGCATAGGTGCAATGCGTAGATGGGCGCATGCTAGCATGGGAGCACACGCTTGGTCGAAGGACGTGACGACGGAAAACCCGCCTCGCACCTCCTCCCCCCCACACTCCACACTGCACTCGCCTGCTACAGCCCCTGCGCACACAGCTCCCCGTTCCCCACCCTCCCCTGCAACACTCATCCTTCCACCTGCCTGCTCCCCCTTCTCAATGCCTCGCTCTTGCACCCCTGTGCCCCATCCCCTTGCCCGCCGTGCTGTGGTTGCAAGGAGGGGTGTGGGAGCAGCGCGAGTGGAGGGCCGTGCGAATGCCGAGCCATAGCCTGGTGGGGGGAAAGAGAAGGGGCAAGGGCGGGGGGGCAGGAGGAGAGAGAACTGGAAGGGGGCAACGTAGGGGGTGGAGGGAAGGGGGGACAAGGGAGCAGGGGGAGGGAAAAGGAAGAAATCTCAGGGGGTAAGCGCAGGGCGAAAAGGCAGAGGAAGTGGGCAGGGGGAAGGGGAAGAGATGCGGGGGGGTAGTAAGTCGACAGCAGGGTGTGCGAGGGAAGTAGTTTGTGAAATTGCACTCGTGGGGTGCATGGGTACAGCAGCACAGCATACACAAGGCATGGCAGGAGGGAGGGAGCATGGATGAGTGAATGGACCCTGTCTTTTGCTTGCACCACGCATGCACACACGACATCTGTGAGGCTGCCTCTCAGTGCGCACTCGCCTGTTCGTCCTTCCTTCCACCCTCTGCTTTTGCATCTGTGCTGCACACACCCACTCACACTAAATCATCCCCATCCCTGCACAATCCCCATCTTCCCCTTCCCACCACACCTTCCCCTCCTCCCACCTCCTCCCCATTCCTCTCCCTTGCCATGGCATGCGACGCCACATCATGCCATACTAGCCATGCCACACCATGCCACGCCATGCCACGACAAGCCAACCCATGTCACACAATGCTACACTCCCCTCTCCCGCCATCACCTCTCCTGCGCCGCATCAAAGCTCTCCCCCGTGCGAGTCTCATACACCCACGCGGGTGCAAACACAGCGGCCGACGCCCCTCTCTGCAGCGCCACGCTCACCGCCTGCCCTGTGGCAAAGCCCCTGGCCTGGCGGCACGGCCCGGTGCGAGACAGCAGTCCACCCCCATGAACACATCGATTGCACGGCTGCCCACAAGGACCACGGACGAGTGCACCTGAGCGCGGCCCTGGTGTGGTGTGGTGGTGGTGGTGGGGCCAAGGAGGGAAGCGTGTGGAGGGAGGGCGTGGCAGGGAGGGGCGGTGGTTGATGCAAGGGCAGGTGATAGGAGCATGAGTGGCGTGTGTTGTGGTGCGTGTGGATACATGGGGGAGGGGAGGAGTGGGGCGAGAGGGGTTGGGAAGTGAGGGGGGGAAGGAAACTGGAGAAACAAAGCAGCAAGGCATCAGGCAGCAAGACCAAAAGGGCAGCAGGGCAGCAGCAGCGAACCTGGCAGGATTAGTTAGTGAAGATGGCATGACAGGCGCGGAAGCAGCAGCGGTTGGCCGCTGTGAGCGCGTCCTGCCACCTCACCTTGCCATCCTCCGTCACACTGCTGTACCTGCACGGTGGAGAGGGGGGAGAGAACTGGGAGAGAGGGGGAGAGTGTGGGGAGAGAGGGGAGGGTGGGGGAGAGCGGGGGAGAGGAGGAAACGGGGGGAGAGAGGGGGGAGAGGGGGAGACAACATCAGTTAGGAGTGCTGGCGGGGGAAGGGATGGGGTGAAGCCATAAGAGCGAAGGGAAACAATGGCAGAGCAGAAAAGCGGCAAGACACTGGTGGGTGGGCGGCAAAGGCAGCCCGTAGCAGAGGAGAAGGGGGGGGATATGGCGAAGAACAGGGCGAGGAGGGCGGGCAGGGTGGACTGTGGACAGCTGAACAGAGGACGAGGGCGTGGGTGGGAGAGGGCGTGCATGTGGTGGGTGGGTGAGGGTGTGCAGGAAGTGCAACAGCGTGGGCACCCTCTACTTCTCCACCGCAATCTCTGTGTTCACCTGCCACTCGGAACACGGTGCCATGCGGTGGGGTGGGGTGTGAGGGATGCTTGCTGTGAGGTGACGATGATAGGGATGAGCAGGGAAGTGGAGGTGGGGTATGGTGTGGGCGGGGATAATAAAATGCACGTGAAGCAAGTGCCAAGCGCACAGCTTGCGCGGGGAGACTCGTGCTAGCGTGTGCAGAGTGCAGCATGGCAACACGGCTTGGTGGCTCAGAAGACACGCAAGGCAGCAGCAAGGAGCACAAGACGTCGTCCCATCCACCACAGGCACCCCACCACAGGCACCCCACCACAGGCACACCCAATCGAACCAAACCCCAACCACGCCCATCAAACATCACCCCGTGCCCCGCCCCACCTCGTCCCACCCCCTGCCTGCCCCACAAGCCCCCCATGCCCCACAGACTCCCCCAGTGACGGGCTGCAAGGGTGACATCCCTCTTCCCCCTCACCCCCCCTCTCCACCCCCCAGCCCAGCATACAAGCCAGCCGTGGAAGCCATGGCAGTGTGTGAGGCGGGCGAGCTGGTGGGCAGCACGGGCGACAGTGGCGGGCGAGGCGAGCAGCTGCCGACACACTTTAGCGCCCGCCCCCCACTCCGTGATGAATGTGCCCAGTACCCGGGGATGGAGGGAGCGGGTTTGGGGGAATAGAATGTGGAAGGGGTGGGTGTGCCATGCCGTGCCATGCCATGCCATGCCGTGCCATGCCATGCCATGCCGTGCCATGCCATGCCATGCCGTGCCATGCCATGCCATGCCGTGCCATGCCATGCCATGCCGTGCCATGCCATGCCATGCCGTGCCATGCCATGCCATGCCATGCCGTGCCATGCCATGGCATGCGCAGGTGTATCCAGTGGAAATGGATTGGTATGGGTATGGCAGAACAAAAGGACGTGGAACGCCAGCGGCGTGGACATGGTGGCATGGAGGCGCATGGCGCATGGCACAAGGCGCTTGACCAAAGCAAGCTGTTGCGTATGTTATGTTGACTGATTCATCATCCTCGTTTTTCTCTTTCCTTTTCTTCCCTTCCGCTGCGCTCCATCATCTCAACCAACCGCACCTCCCCACGCCTCATGCCATCGCGATTCCCGCATCCCCTCTGCCGTCACCCACCTACACGCATCCCCTCTGCCATCACCCACCTACACGCATCCCCTCTGCCATCACCCACCTACACGCATCCCCTCTGCCATCACCCACCTACACGCATCCCCTCTGCCATCACCCACCTACACGCATCCCCTCTGCCATCACCCACCTACACGCATCCCCTCTGCCATCACCCACCTACACGCATCCTTCCAGCCCCCAAACCACACACCCCCCCTCTCTCCCCCTTCCCCCAATGCGCACCTGCACGCCGTGCGTGCGGCAGCAGTTGCACCAGGCCACGGGAGGCAGCGTCACCAGGTGGCGTCACCCACGCGTCCACCGCGTCCCACTTCCACGCGCGTTACACCGAGTTGCACGCGCTCCCCTGCGCGCGCACACCCTCCACGTACCCCTCCTTCATCTCGCGGCTGCCAACACCCGCTGCCGTCGCCGCGAAAGCCCCCCGGGCGCGCTGCGCGCGCGGAAGGGCGCGGTGGCTCGGTCGTAGATTCCGCCCGTGGCGAGACTGCCGGGGCGCCATTGGAGCAGCTGGTCGAGGGACGTGAGGGCCGCGCAGACGAGCGCCACTGGCGGGGACGGCGGAACGGGGGGAAGCGGAGCGGCGGAAGCGTCCGCCATGGAAGAGTGGGAGGATGAGTGGGAGCGGGTGGAGAAGGGAAGAGAAGGGTGCGGCGAGGTGTAGTGTGAGGAGATGGGCGCCTCCGGTCGTCACGGCGCCACCATACAGCCGTCAGTCCACGTCTCCCGTGTACGAGGTTTTGAGAGCGAGTGGGCAGTGCGGCCCGAGTATTTAGCGGATAGGGTTGCAATTTATTCCTACCATCCCCGTTCCAAGCTTGTGTGGCGTCGTGGAGCAGGTAGGTTGGTAACTGGCGGAAAGAGAGTTTGCGGAATTCGTCAAGAGAGTAACCAGAACTCGTTAGCATTGCTGGAGTGGCGCACATCACACCAGGACAAACCCAGCAATGCTAACGAGGGTTCGTCAGACCTCGTGCTTTCCATTGCGAACTGCACTAAGGTTCCGATCAGAACGTGCAACAAGATGTGAGATGTTCTGCTCTCCGTTTGACGCAATACTGTACCGCCCTGCTTCTTCTCACAAGCTCGCGCCGCACCATACCAAAACACACGGGAACGTACGTCACCACACTTTCTCGCCGCCGCCTCCTGCTTGCAACTGTTCACCAAACCCTTCAAGCAGTGGTTCCACAGCTTTTGCTACAGTTCAGGCCTAGGTTCTCAAATCCCACCACATTCTTCTTTCTTCTCACGTACCTGTCTCATTTATCTCCGCGCGTTCTCCCCTACCCGTGTCGCATTACACCCGCGCCTCGCTCCGTCGCCGTGCCGAAGCCCCTCGTCGGCGCAACGCGCAACCACGCGCATCGCCTAAGCCCGCCCCTCACTGGGAGGTGATTGCCGAGTCGACTACCTCTTGAAGCCTGCCACCGCGCATATAGTAACCCCACGCATTACCCAAGCAGGTCGCGTCGATCCCTCCGCGTTGCCATCACATCCCTTGGTCGTTGCGCTCCATTAGCGGTGATCATCCTGCTGCGTGCATTGCCGGTTGCGTATTGTTCGTCCTGCTTGTTTTCCCCGGGCCGCCATTCCGTGTTTCCCTCCACTTCCCGCATCCTTCTAAGGTGCTTGTTGCGAATGCATTGTTTGTAGCGAATGGAGTGTTTGTAGCGAATGCGGTGTTTTTAGCGAGTGTTTTTAGCGAATGCGGTGTTTGTAGCAGTGGTTTGTGATTGTAAGAAATGAGGCGCTTGTAGCGGTACGCTACATGCATGTCGCCATTGATGATCATTCACGCACAGCTATTACTCCAACTCCCCCCTGCGCCTCCACCGCCCCCCTACTCAGAGCCGATACCTCTACCACCGGACACGGGCCTTCACGTAGCGAGCACGAGCACCCACCGGAACCTAGAAGCAGCGAGAGGGGCATGGCTGGTGCGCGCGAGGAGGCGTGCGCGGCAGGGAAGGCAGCTACGAGGGCGCTGCAAACGGTGAGGGGCGAGCTGGCAGCGCTGCAGTGGGAAGTGGCGGCGAGCGGGAGGTGGAGTCGCAGAAGCACAGTCTGGCGGATCAAGTTGCAGCGCTGCAGCGGGAAGTGGCGTCCGTGCGGGAGGAGGCTGCAGCGGAGCAGAGCCTCGCGGACGAGGTGGCAGCGCTGCGGCGGGAAGTGGGGTCGATGCGGGAGGTGGAGGCACAGAAGCACAGCGTGGCGGACGACGTGGAGGCGCTGCAGTGGGAAGTGGCGTCCTTGCGGGAGGCAGCAGCAGCGAAGCAAAGCCTGGCGGACGAGGTGGCAGTGCTGCGGCAGCAAGTATTCCGGGTGTGGGAGTTGGCGTTCGTGCAGAGGAGGGACGTGCAGCGGGTGAGGGGCGAGGTGGAGGAGATGAAGAGAGAGCTGGCGGCGGTGAAGGGAGTGATTGGCAGCGAGGAGGACGAGAGCCGCGAGATGTGGCACGTGAGTGGCCATGCTGGCTGCTTCTGTCAATTCGTCCCAGCTTTGTACTAGTCGTGCGTGCATGGACCTGCGTTTCCTCTTTAGCATACGCATAGTCTGTGGCATGCTCCTTACCCACTTTTTTTCATATCTTGCACTGTCATTCCGCACACTCCCTCTCCACACATCCCTCTCCGCCCATCCCTCTCCGCCCATCCCTCTCCGCCCATCCCTCTCCGCCCATCCCTCTCCGCCCATCCCTCTCCACACACTCCCTCTCCGCAGAAGATCCTGGCAGCATCGCAGGAGGCAGAGCTAGAGCTATGCGGGGAGGCATCGCTGACAGATGCAGTGCTGGCACACGTGGCCGGCATGACCCGCCTCTCCACCCTCGACCTCTCCAACTCCTCCGGCTTCACCACCCAGGGCCTGCAGCACCTCTACGCCCTGCCCAGCCTCACCACCCTTGTTCTCTGCGGCACACCAGCGGGTTGGGAAGGCGACGAAACAGTGTCTCTGGAGGGCATTGGCGCAGCCAGCCAGCTTCACACACTCAAGCTGGACCATACAAGCGTGGACGACTCTGATCTGGAGCCCCTCACTGCGCTCACCTCACTCACAACCCTTTCCCTGGAAAACTGCCACAACCTCACCCCGGCTCTCCTGGCCCATGTGGGCCGGCTGACTGGGCTGGAGGAATTATCCCTCAGTGGCTGTGCCATGGGGGACGAAGTGCTGCCGCAGCTGACCTGCCTGCCGCGCCTCTCCTCGCTCACCGCGCCTCCCGGGGTCACAGATGCCGGCCTGCAGCACCTGGCCGCGCTGCCGGCGCTGCGGAGGCTGTCGCTGTGTGGCTGCCAGGACGTCACCTCTGCTGGCATGCTGTATGTGGGACGCCTCACCAGCCTGCAGGGCCTCTTTCTCCCCGACACCCTTGTGACAGACCAAGGGCTGCAGCACCTCACCTCGCTCACCAACCTCCTGTCGCTCATACTGCCCTCTGGGGTGACAGATGCTGGCATGGTGCATGTGGGGCAGCTCACGGGACTGTGGATGCTGAGGCTGTCGCATAGGGCGGTGGGGTGGCATGGGCTGCAGCACCTCACGCCACTCACGCGCCTGTGGTCGCTGGACCTGCCTGATGGCACCAGCATGGACCATGACGCCCTGCTCCGACGCTTGAGCTTGGAGGGCAGGAAGATGGGAGGCTAGGCCAGTGGGAAGAGGCATGGGGTGAGGGAGAAGAGCGGCGAGGCCATGGCCGATGTGAGCATCAGTTGTACCTACCGTGCGACACGTGGATGCGCTACAGGGTGTTACTGCTGTTCAGCAAGGTGTCATCACCTCTTTAAAGCGACGGTGCACATTTGCCACCCGAAACCCAAAACCCTGGCGACTGTTACTGCGGAGGAAAAGTGTCCGCACGAAATCCAGGTTTTCGTTAGCCAACACTTTCGCGCTGGCAAGCCTGGTTCAAAACAAAAACTTCTGAACCCCCGCTTGTCAAATCTAGACCCTCGTTTTAAGGTTTGATATATAATTTATGATATGGTTATAACTAATCCTCCGTATAGTAGACCCCGGGTGCAGACTGAAGTTCATGATGAATAAGGGGGTGGTACACGATTTTGTAACATTTTTTGTGCACTCTAGTATAATATTTAGGGAAGGTGTCATGAAGAACATGGGTGTGCTGTTACAAAACGAAAAAAAAGGATGAGGCGGGTGGGGGGGGGGGTGGGGAAGGTCTGGTCATTCTCTCCAAGTCTCACCAGATCATCGTTCTCACTTGAGCTCAAAACTCTACCCAAACGCTAAGAATTGTAAACTAGCCACTCTGACATGCAGAATATCTCATTCCACCCAAAACTGATTTCTCTCTGTAAGTTCTTCCCCACGCTAGTTACAATCGCTGCCTCACGCCATCGCAGCGCCGAAGCTGCCTCGTCGGCGCAACGCGCAACCACACGCGTCGCCTCAGCCCGCCGCACACTGGCAGGGGACTGTCGAGTGAACTTTTACAGACCTAAGCCTCCTGGGTGCACCCGCGCATAGGTGTTCCAAATATCATCTCTCGCGTTATTGAAGCGGGTCGCGTCGGGCCCGCTGCACTGCCGAACCTCCAGTCGCCGCGCGGCTTCGAGGCGTCTCGTTTGTTACGAGAGCTCGGGTTAGGCTCATAGGTACGGCCGTGGCTGCAGCTCAGCGGCTTTGCAACCACATACGCCGCTCACCCACGCACACATGCACCGTGCATTCCGAACCGAACCGCTGCCGTCACATCCCTTGCCCGTTGTGTTCCCTGCGCGCATCATCCTGCTGCGTGCATTGCCAGCTCCTAGCATATCCTAGGTACTTCTAGCACAGCTCATAGTCTCGCTCCCCTTGCTCCTCCCACTCTGGGCTCGCGTCACGTCACGCTCCATTTTTATTATACCTCTCCCCCAGCTCACCGTGCACGGCCTTTCTCGTCCATTTTCTTGCTCCCCCCTTCTCCTCCCCTCCTCTCCAAACGCGTCACAGTAGCTTCTTCACCCCTCGCCCTCTGTCCTCCCCACCGCCCCCTTCTCTCATCTCGGCCTTACCGGTGCCGACTCCTCTACCACCTGGCACAGCCCTTCACGTGAGCACGAGCACCCATCGGGACCTAGAAGCAGCGAGCGGGAGGGGCATGGCAGCAATGGGGAAGCGTGCGCGCGAGGAGGCGTGCGCAGCGGGCGAGGCAGCAATGAAGGCGCTGCAGGAAGTGAGGAGTGAGCTGGCAGCGCTGCAGCGGGAAGTCGCAGCCGTGCGGGAGGAGGCGTTCGTGCAGAGGAGGGACGTGCAGCGGGTGAGGGGCGAGGTGGAGGAGATGAAGAGAGAGCTGGCGGCGGTGAAGGGGGTGATTGGCAGCGAGGAGGGCGAGAGCCGCGAGATGTGGCACGTGAGTGGCCATGCTGGCTGCTTCTGTCAATTCGTCCCAGCTTTGCACTAGTCGTGCGTGCATGGACCTGCGTTTCCTCTTTAGCATACGCATAGTCTGTGGCATGCTACTTTTTCACTTTCGTTCAAATCTTGCACTTCCGCTCCGCACATCCCTCTCCGCACATCCCTCTCCTCATACTCCCTCTCTGCAGAAGATCCTGGCAGCATCGCAGGAAGCGGAGCTAGAGCTGTGCGGGGAGGCATCGCTGACAGACGCAGTGCTGGCACAAGTGGCCGGCATGACCCGCCTCTCCACCCTCGACCTCTCCAACTCCTCCGGCTTCACCACCCAGGGCCTTCACCACCTCTACGCCCTGCCCAGCCTCACCACCCTTGTTCTCTGCGGCACACCAGTGGGCGGGGGGGGCGACGAGGCAGTATCTCTCGACGGCATTGGCGCAGCGAGCAGTCTCGAGACGCTTGTATTGGACAACACGAGTGTGCGCGACGGCGATCTGGAGCCCCTCACTGCGCTCACCTCACTCACTAACCTCTCCCTGGGCAACTGCCACAACCTCACCCCGGCTCTCCTGGTCCATGTGGGCCGGCTGACTGGACTGGAAGATCTATCTTTGAGCGGTTGTGACATGGGAGATGATGTGCTGCCACAGCTGACCTGCCTGCCGCGCCTCTCCATGCTCGCCATTCCCCATGGGGTCACAGATGCTGGCCTGCAGCACTTAGCCGCACTACCGGCGCTGCTGCAGCTGTCGCTGTGTGGCTGCCAGGACGTCACCTCTGCTGGCATGCTGCATGTGGGGCGCCTCACCAGTCTGCGAGGGCTCTCTCTCCCCGACACCCGCGTGACAAACGAAGGCCTGCAGCACCTCACCTCACTCACCGACCTTGTGTCACTCGTGTTGCCGCCTGGGGTCACAGACGCCGGCATGGTGCATGTGGGTCGGCTCACGGGGCTGGAGGTGCTGAGTGTGTATCATACGGCGGTGGGGGAGTACGGGCTACAGCAGCTGACGGCGCTAACGCAGCTGGAGTCTCTTGACCTGCCTGATGACACCACCATTGACCGTGAAGAGCTGCTCACACGCGTGGGCTGGCAGGGCAACAAGAGGGGAGGCTAGGCTAGTGAGGAGGAGCATGGGGTGAGGGAGCAAGAGAGGCGAGGCCAGGATCGATGTGAAGGTCAGGTGTATCTGTCGTGTGTGAGATGCTGATGCGCTACAGGGTGTTGCATACAGGCCCTTTTGGGCAAGGTGACATGCCATTACTTCTTTAAGCTTGAGTTTATTGTTTATATTATGACTACAAGAGTATGCTAGCAACCAGGAAGGATATATTGCTCTAGAGAGGGCCCACAGAGTCAGCATTTTCTATGCTGACTTTATTTTTGTTTGTAATCACTTGCAATGCGACACTGTTGCCCAAGAAATGCTATCCTCGTTTCCTCCTAAAGTGTACTCATCATCGATGGAAGCGCTCTAATCGAGTCGAGAATATCTACTCGCAGATCCCCCCTGGAGTCAACATCAGTCACGGGGCCTGCCAGCGAGGCAAAGCGACACGCGGGGGCCAACATGCCCAACGGTCCCTCATTCGGTGGTGGTGGGCACTGTAGCATGCAAATTGACGCTGCGCTGTCAGACAAACCTACCCCCCTTCCTCCTGTGAGTCCTCTCCTCCCCTCTCCACCCGCCCACACCATTGTGCTTTCTTGTTGCTCAACACAATGCACTACGCTACTAGTGCTGCTCTAGAACGAATAGTACTCCTAATCCTGGCTCTGCAGTACGTCCCAACCATCCTCTCTTCCATCGCGATAATCGACGAGCGACTGGTTTCTGAGCGCGACACATGAAGGTGCGTCCTGGAGTACGATTCACGCAGCGAAGGTCGCTGAAGCTGAAGCGAGAGCGAGAGATCACGAGCGAGCCTGAGGCTGAAGCTGCGCGCCGAGCGCGCGCCGTGCTGCGGATCTTCATGCACGGGATGGTCGCAGCGGCTGCGGCGGTCCGGGGGAGCCGAGCCGCCACTAGGGCGTGACGCGTTTCTGCGTGTCGCAGTCGTTCGCTGGTGTATCATCGCACAGTGCATCGTCGCACGGTAGATCGTCGCACAGTGCATCGTCGCACAGTGCATCGTCGCACAGTGCATCGTCGCACAGCGCATCGTCGCACAGTGCATCGTCGCACAGTGCATCGTCGCACAGCGCATCGTCGCACAGTGCATCGTCGCACAGCGCATCGTCGCACAGTGTATCATCGACTGGGTCAGCCTCCCTGTGGATCCCACTCTCTCCTGCTCCCCGACCCTTCCCCTCCCCTCTCCCCGTGTCATTTCCTCCCCTTCCCGTTCCCCTTCACTCCTGCCTCTCTTCCCAACCGCAGACCCATCTCGTGCTTCCTCTACTCCCCCTGCTGCTGCTCACCTGCTACTGCCCGCGCTGCACGCTGGTGGCGGCGCGCCGAATACAAACAGCAGACTGTGAGTCTAAATAATAAGTGCTTCGCATGTTTTGGAATGTTTCGCACTAATTTAATGCAAATGCTGCGCATCTTTCGCCGGCGAATATTTTGCACCACAATAAGGCAAGCAAGTGCTTCGTATCTTTCGCTTGCATTATTAAATTAAGGCGCGAAGCGAAAACGTGTGCGAAATGCGAAGCATGTGAGCTTGCTTGCACAGTAACATCCACGCGCTGAAAGACATAAGCTTGCTCATAATCATGCGCAAGGCTCGGGCCGTGTGAGCAAGCAAAGCTTGCGAAAGAAAAAGCAGAAAAGCTTGCATGTATGGTTCGTTAGAAGAAGCATGCTTTGCATTGAATTCTGTAGTAGGCATTTTCCCTTCTGCGGGATGGTGGGAACGAGAAGTTTGGGATATGTTTGGTGTTTATTTTAGCAACCACCCAGATTTACGTCGTATTTTAACAGATTATGGTTTTGAAGGCCATCCTCTACGAAAAGATTTTCCTCTAAGTGGATATTTAGAAGTTCGTTACGATGATTCAGAGAAACGTGTAGTATCGGAACCAATTGAGCTCGCTCAAGAATTTCGATATTTTGACTTTACTAACCCCTGGATTCAAAGTTCCAAGGGTTAGGTTTGCCATGCTTTAACTTTCGCAAGGTTAAATCTTTCGGTCAATTGACCGAAAGAGTTAATTCAATTTCATGAGGCGCGAAGCGGGGGCGTTGTTCGAAGCTTTATGTTGTCAGAGCGAGCAAGCTTTGCTTGCGCCGGAAGACAGGGGGGCGTTAGGGAGCGTGCGAGCTTGCAGTTACGGCGCGAAGGACACACCAAGCTATACATAGTTACAAAAAAACTTTTCATGAGCTCTGGCTTCTGGGTGAGCAAAAAAGAGCAAAGCTCGCGAAGGAACGATATTGACTTAAATAAAAAAGAGCCATCTAGTAAGCTAAAGATCTTTGAAAATAAATATGATAAAAGAAGTCGTAACACCAGTCTTAAAGTTGCTTTTTTATTGTAAAATTTTATGACTAAATACGCACTATCGGACTTGAACCGATAACCAAATTAAGGATGTGATTTTAAGTCACAAGCGTATACCAATTTCGCCAAGTGCGCTATATTTTAAATCTTGTCAACTTTTTAAGGTTCAATTGACTGATTAAAGCTAGTAAAAGAGATTGCGGTCCGATAGGGGAGGTCACTTCCCGCAGGCAAAAGGCTCCTAAAGAGTTACGTAGAATAGTAATAATCACTGAACCAACTGGAATCCGAACTTCGGTTGAATCTCAATCTAACTGCGATAGGATTCACTTTTTGAGCCATAGTTTATTGTAGTTTTTCTTTTAATTTAGTCTTTTTATGCAATAAGATCTAAAAAGTAGCTACGAGTAAATTCATACCAACGCCACTTTAGACTATTGAAGCTATCGCGCTTTTTTTGCCCCCGGCCTTTCGTTTTTCTTGCTTCGCAAAGGCTCCAAGGCAGAGCGATATGGGCGGGCGGTGGGGCGGTATGGGGCGGTATGGGTAGATGCGACGGTATGGGAAGGCATGGGGCGGTGGGGGGGTGGCGTGAAGGGGTGATGCGAGATTTCTCCTCCTCAGAAGCTACTGTGACTCTCTCGCTCCTCTTCCTCAGAAGCGCTCTCGCTTGTCCTGCAATGGGCATTCACACGCCTCGGCCCCCATTCCCCTTTACCATCTCACCTGCTCTTCCTCCCTCCCTTCCCCTCCCTCCCCTCCCTCCACTCCGTTCCCCTCTCCAATCCCTCACACCCTTCCCCAACCATCCGCACCGCACTCATCTACCGCACAACCCTCGTCCCGTCTCGCCCCTGCGCGCCCACGTGGAATCGTCACCCCTCCCCCCGGTTCCGCGCAGTCAAGGTGTTATCGGCGGTGCTGGCGGCGTGGGGCCCCTTTGAGGACGGCAAGTCGTGGTCGCCCAACAGCGACTGCTCCACGGTGCAGGGCGTCACATGCGATCCCGATGGCTACGTTGTCTCCCTGTCAGTGCACCCATGGGCCCGTGCGCGCATGCGCCCATGTTACTGGTCCTTCCCGCATGAGAGTTCTGAAGCTGATTTCCCCACGCTCATCAACTGTAACGTCGCCGCATGCGCCGCGCACAGCATCGTGCTTTCTCTGTGCCATGCCATGCCATGCCATGCCATGCGATTAGCAGTGCTGCACCATCACATCACAGCTGCAGCAGCACACTTCGAAGAAAACGAGTTTGCTTCCCCCCCTCCTCTCCCCCACTTCTCCCCATGGCCCGCGGCGCTCCCCTTTAGGGCCACGTCGGGCAATGCATTTTGGAAGCCCATTCCGGACGTTGTCAGTGGGCTGCAGCACCTCACTTACCTGTCAGTCTCTTGGGTCCTGAGCAAGTACTATCCACTCGTTGCCCTTACCATCTTCGCCTCACATGCCTTTAACGCACACTCCTGCCACTGTTCCACCCTTCTCCCTCACTCCCTCCATCCCCTCCCCGTCTCCCGTCCTCACCTTCTCCACAAGCGCCCTACCCTAAACCCCACACACCCTCGGCCCCGCGTCCTCCCCTCTCACCCCAACAACCAACCTCCCCTCTCACCCCAACAACCAACCTCCCCTCTCACCCCAACAACCAACCTCCCCTCTCACCCCAACAACCAACCTCCCCTCTCACCCCAACAACCAACCTCCCCTCTCACCCCAACAACCAACCTCCCCTCTCACCCCAACAACCAACCTCTCCCCTCTCACCCCAACAACCAACCTCCCCTCTCACCCCAACAACCAACCTCTCCCCTCTCACCCCAACAACCAACCTCTCCCCCCACCCCCTGGTGAGGCAGGGCCATCACGTCGAGTCATCTGGTGGGGTCGCTGCCAACAGCCATCTTCAACCTGCCACTGCTGCGCGGCATGTGAGTGGTGCTGCGAGGCATGTGAGTGGTGCTGCGCGGTATGTGAGTGGTGCTGCGCAGCTTGTGAGTGGTGCTGTGCGGCATGTGGGGTCAAAGAGCGAGAAGTGTGAGTTGCGATGAGGGTGGATGGTAAGGCGACAGGTGGGAGTGCTGTCATGTCATGCGTGTGCATGCAGTGCGGCACGTGGGACGGAGGGCGTCCCTAGAGGTGCTTGCCATGCCACTAGTGCTGCTGCCATGCCTGCCTGTTGGGGTGGGGGCGAAGGCATACAGGAGTGGTGGCGAGCAGAGTGCAGGAGCTTCATGCGGCCAACTCAACTCAACCAAGAGAGCAGGAAACACGAGCAAGCTGCAGCTGCAGAGCAGTGAGCGCTGCCTCGTGTTGCGCCTGCTGTAGCTTCAGATACAACTCACCCGCTCCTACCAGTATTTTCTATCTCAATAACTCGCATCCATCCCTATCCCCACCCCACAAAATAGGCCCATCTGTAATCTACCCGCATCTCTGTCTTCCTCTCCCAACCCAACAGTAGCTGTTTCTTATACCCCTGTTCATCCGTTTTCCTTTCTGCCCTTCCCATGCGTCCATCCATCCCATGCCTCCCCCATCCACCCCTATCCATCCCCAACCACCCCCATCCCCATCTATCCCATGCATCCACATGCATCCCCATGTGTGCGCTGTGCATGCAGCAAGCTGACAGTGAATCATCTCAACGGCTCCATACCGGATGACATCAGCAAGCTCACAGCCCTCACCTACCTGTCAGTACCACCTCTGCCCCACCTACCTGTCAGTACCACCCCTACCGCACCCCTGATCCATCCCACGGCTCCATGACGCTGGCTCTACTCATCGCATGAGGTCACGTCACATGCCTCATCTCCCCCTCTCTCACCTCCCCACACAGCCACCTGTTGCTACACCACCCTTCAAATCCCTCTGCTATGCCATGCCTCTGCTCTCTGCCCTCTGCTCTCTGCCCTCTGCTCCTGCTCTCCCACCCGTCCTCTGCAGGTACCTGGCACAGAACCGCCTGACTGGGTCGCTGCCCGAGTCTCTGTCGCACCTCACCCAGCTCGTCTCAGTGTAATGCTTGCCTTCATTGCACTCACAGCTGGGCAAGCCGAGGGGTGTCACTTGGGAGGAGAGCGGTGGTGTCTGTGCGTGTACTGGCATGGATGGGCCATGACTCATGAGGGTGTGCATGGATGTGGAAAGGCGAACAAAATAAGGGTGCGTTTTTGCGGTGCAGTGTGGATTGGACTATGCACACAGGGCATTGTGTGTGTCATGCATGCATGTGTTGTAGGCAGGTTTCCACTCACTCAACAGTGCACGATGCAAGCATATTGGATGATGCGTTCACCAGGCCTATCCTATGCATGTCTCCTCCTCCTTCGTTCGTACCACCCAGCAGGGCACATAATGCATTCCCTGTGCTGCTCTGCCTGTGCGGCACTGCGTGTGGTGACGTGCAGGAACCTTGGCGTGAACGGGTTCACGGGGAGCATCCCGTCGGCCTTGAGCACCATGTCAAACCTCGACCTCCTGTCAGCCACCTTACCGCCAAACTCGCCCTGCTCACACTCCTGCACGCATCCTTCACTAATTGCACCGGCACGCATCCTTCACTCACCCACTCACTCGCAGTGCTACACATTGTCTCGTTTTGCCACGCCACGCTACGTGGGACCTCACTGCATGCAACGCAAGGAAGCCGTACCCCCTGCTTTTGAGTGGTGCTTTTGACTCAAAAGCAAGGAAGCAATCCACGGTGTGGTGGTGATGTGATGCCACGAGACAACCATTTGATTTCGCGACCGCAGCCATGTCCCTAATGCGCCTAGGCTTTTGCGGATGCATCTCCATCTAACCTTGAAAGAAGTCAGAGAAACGGTCGACTCGACGCACTGACCACAGGATACTTATTCTTGCATGCATCTGCCCGTGCTCTGCTCCCCGCTCTGCCATGCAGCAACCTGCACAATAACTACTTTGAAGGCGCCATTCCTGATTGGCTCTCCACAATCCCAAGCCTGATGAGCATGTGTGTTGTCACGGGCATGTGTTGTCACGAGCATGTGCTAACACGAGCATGTGTTGTCACGAGCATGTGTTGTCACGAGCATGTGTTGTCACGAGCATGTGTTGTCACGAGCATGTGTTGTCACGAGCATGTGTGCAGTCACGCGCATGCCTGCAGTCACGAGCATGCGTTCAACTTCTTTTGTTTCAACCTTACTCCTGGTTCGAACCGTTCCAATGCTTCGAATCGTGCTCTTGCTTTGAACAACACTCACCCATTACTGACTATAACGTCACTGAAATATGTTATGTTGGTCACACCCTTTCCCCTCTCCTCCCTCTCCTCGCATGTACCCCTTGTTGGCAGCGACATGCAGCAAAATGCATTGAACGGCACCATTCCTGCCTCTCTCAGTCGCATGACGCAACTCACCAAGCTGTATGTTTCCCCCCTGCCTCTCTGCTTCCTCCCACTCATTCTCTCCTCGTGCCTCCCTGTTCAGCAGCAGCTGCTTTCCATTCCACCTACCCGTAGCTTGACAGCGCTCTTTCATTGTTCCTGCTTGACAGCGCTCTTTCATTGTTCCTGCTTGACAGTGCTCTTTCATTGTTCCTGCTTGACAGTGCTCTTTCATTGTTCCTGCTTGACAGTGCTCTTTCATTGTTCCTGCTTGCCTGCGTGCAGCAGCCTAGCGGTGAACTTCATTGAAGGGTCGATTCCGGGAGAACTAGGCAACCTGCTGAACTTGCAGACGCTGTGAGTCGCGGTGAAGTGAACCTTGGCACACTGCTGCATGCGCGAAGCTGAGCTAGCTATGTGCTTGGTGGTAGCGCTGAGCTAGTCATGTTTGCACATGCATTGGGTGCTGAACACATGGAATGGATAGCAAGTACATGCTCGTAAGGGCCTTGATCTGCCTCATTGACCAGCAGGGACAGGTCTGGTGCTGTGAAGGATTCAATTGGGAAGAGGCAGAGTGTGTGAAGGGTAGTCGCATTCATCTTGATCCTCTTCCCCCGCCCTCTCTCCCACTCCCTCCCTTGCTCCCTCTTTTCACCGCATCGGTTCGACCCTGATCTCCCGTGTGCATACCCTTCCCTTCCTTTACCCGCCCCACTGGCTGTCTCTCAGCATTCTTGAGACCAACTATCTGAGCGGCACCATCCCCGCCTCTCTGGGGGCTCTCACGAATCTCCTTGACTTGTGAGAGCAGACTCATGAACGCGCAGTGTGGTAGGCCTGATAGAATCACGAACAGAGCTCCGTGTGCTCTGCTTGCATGCGTAGTTTTCTCCAGGAGGGACTCTGTATGAAGATGAAAATAAGGTTTCATGCCACCACTTTCCGATTTTGATCCCTGCTTCATGAGGACAGAGCTAGTGGTTAATTCACTGACTTTCTTGTGGTGTTTAATCACCTGGGATGTGTGGCATCTCATGTGTTTTTTTCGACCATGTGGTGGATTTCTCAATCGTCTGATAAGAAGTTTGTAGCACTTGAAACACAGGGAAGATCCGACGGACCACAGCGCAAGAGTCAAGTGTAGCACGCACGAAAGAATGCCCAAGACTGGGAGTGTTCCTTTCTTCCACATGTGTCTCTCAATGATCACCGTTTGAATCCTTGATACAACCAGGCTCTCCATTCAGCTCCCACTGCCGCTACGTTTCCATGCCATGCGATTGCAGGGAGCTGGCATGGACAGACATCACTGGAACCCTGCCCTCCTCTATTGGGACCCTGACTCGCCTTAACATCTTGTGCGGAAGCTGCAACCCATCCATCTAGCTTCTCTTATCTAATGGTTCTTTCCCTGCTGCCTGCTGTTTATGAGCTTTCTCAAAAACACCATGCAGGTCCAACCATCCCTCCATCCCTCTTGTGTGCACTTGCATTTTGAACACTTCTTTTGTGTTGCATCAATCTCGTCCACAGTAATTTTAGCAATGGAAGCCCATGCCTGATCAGAGCGATGTTAAACGAGCGTGTCAAAGAAGAGTAGGTGCAGACTCGGCAATAGCATGTGCTTTCCCTCGTTTCCATAAAAACTTCCCGATCATGTCACCAACCAGCAACGATCCACCAACGCTGTTGGTGATGCACCATGTCCCCCAAACCACACTGCGAGCGCAGGTACCTGGAGGGCATGGAGCTCACAGGCACGGTCCCCCGATCATTCTCCAACCTTCAGAACCTCGGTTTTTTGTGGGTGCTCCCTGGAACCTGCCTGCTTGCTGTGCTTTTCAGAGTTCCCGCACTTGTTACTCTCGCGTCTGCTCACATCAGTAAACTTCACTCATATTGCCTCTGCTGCCTCTGCTGCCTCTGCTGCCTCGCACTCCTCGTAGGCCCGGTCAATTCCGCTTGACGGGAAGTGCTTCCCTGCCCTGCCCTGCACCCCACTCCCCGATATCCAGCTACCTGAACAGGAACCACCTCTCTGGCGATGTGTACGGCATCACAAGCAACATGACCAGGCTGGTCACGCTGTGCGTGCATGGGGGCATTGGGATGTGCCATGTGCCATGTGTGTGCCATGTGCCATGTGTGCGCCATGTTTTTGCCATAGGGCTGTTACACCATACGCCTACCTTTTCTTCCGCGGTCTATCTGTATGCTCAAGGATCATCATCTTGCCTGCGTCCTGAGCATCTGTTGCATGGCACCAAGCCACCGGACCACCAGTATCTTTCGCACACTAGTACCATTCCTGCCTCATGCGCCTGGTGATTGCAGGCCATCACCACACACACATTATTCCAACCAACCACTGCATCTGTTATCTGCACCGCCCATGCCTGTTCGCTCCGCACCCGCTCATACACCCCATTTTTCCACTCACTTACTACCCTGCTCGCCCTGCTCCCACCCTCTCCCCTCCTCACAGCGACGTGTCAAGCAACCAGTTCACGGGGCGGCTGCCATTGCCCCCATCGCCCTATCTGCAGTTCTACTACGCCCACCGCAACTACTTCTCCTATGGTGCCGTCATACCCCCCAAGGCCAACCGCACCTTCTTTGGCAACGCGTTTGAGAACTGCCTGCTCAACGCGTCCCGGATTCCTGGAGACTACCCCGAGCAGAGGAGTGCAGAGGAGTGTGCTGCGTTTTGCGGGCTTGCTGCTGGGGACACCAGGCCCCTGTGCAGCGGGCACGGCGTGTGCTCCTTCAATGCGACTGTGCAGGAATCAGCGTGCACCTGCGATAGCAACTTTGACAACCAGGCGGGGCCCCACTCATGCTCGTACAGCGGTATGCATTAGAGCTTGAGTGCAAGGTGACTTGTGAGTCGACTCAAAAGTCATCTCCTAGAGCGGTATGCATTAGAGCTTGAGTGCACCGGGTTTGAGTGACGGATTGGAGCACAGTGACACTGCCACTTCATGAAGGCAGGCAGATGTCGTTGTTTCACAGTTCTCTGCTAACAGAGCCACCACACACTCACTGACTGCCTGCTTCTCACAAACAAGTGTACCACTTCACAAACTGCGGTCTGGAAGGTATATCCCATCAATCACCTTATTCTTCCCATTGCACCCGTCTGCTTGCCTTGCTGCTGCAGTCCTCCCTTCAACCGAGTCATCACAGACAACACCAGTGGCCGTGGCAGGAGCAGCAGCGCAGCTGTTCAACGGCACCATCATCCTCACGCCGCCCACCAGCAACACCTCAGGAGCAGCGGCAGTGCAGGCGCCCATCCGCCTCTTCCATTTCATCGACAGCCCTGGCCCCTGCGGCACGCCCTTTGCCTTCAACGCCTCATTCAGTTTCGCCATGAAGCCTGCAGCAGCCCAGGACATGGGGGGCGATGGGGTGGCGTTTGTTGTCAGTGCGGCCGCACCGCAGGGCGCTGGTGCAGCGGGGGTGGGGCTGGGAGGGGTGGGGAAGCGGAGTGTGGCGGTGGAGTTTGACTCGATGCTGAGTGTGAAGCACAGCGACCCCAACGACAACCACGTGGGCGTCAATGTGGGCGGCTCACCTGTGTCTCTCGCCTCTGCCACGGCCCCTCTCATCCTCAACGACGCCCACACCAAGCACGCCTGGATCCACTACGACCCCACCAGCGGCGGCACCCTCCGAGTCTTCCTCTCCTCCGACCCCGACCAGCCCCCCACCCCCATCTTGCGCGCTCGAGTGTCGCTCTGCTCCATCCTGCAGCCCACTGCAGCAGAGACCAACTTCTTCTTTGGCTTTGCCGCCTCGACAACGGATAAGGACCAAGAGAATGTCATCTTGAAGTGGGAGGTCGTGACAGGTGAGCATGCTGCTCTACGGAGCAAGGTGGGCGCAAGCAACGAGTGCGGTGGTGGGGATAGTGCACACAAGGTATCGATGAAACTCCTTGTGGTCATTTCGAGGCCCCATGGGCCTTGTTGAATGACTCTAAACAAGGTAGCTCGTAGAATGAGATGGATGTGGGTTGGTGCGGTGGTGCAGTGCAACAGCACGTGCGTAATGAATGGTACCTTTGGACTCTTTTGCTGAAATTTTCGAGTCGTTTTCGGTCTCCCCCCTGCCACATGAAGGTGCGCACTGCGAATGTGCAATGTGCCATGTGATATGTCGTATGTTTTATGTGCTGCGTGCTACGTGCAATGCGCAATGTCCTGTACGCTATGTGCAATGCACAATGTGCTGAGTGCTATCTGCACTGTGCGCCTCTCATCCTCATCAGTCCAGAGCACTTTCCTGTCCCCACTCCCGACCAACTACAGGTTTGCCTCCTCGACTTCCTCCCAACCCGCAAGGTGAGACCCATCACAGCACGTCCATCACAGCATGTCCATCACAGCACGTCCATCACAGCACGTCCATCACAGCACATCCATCACAGCACGTCCATCACAGCACATCCATCATAGCACATCCATCACAGCACGTCCATCACAGCACGTCCATCACAGCACATCCATCACAGCACGTCCATCACAGCACATCCATCACAGCACATCCATCATAGCACATCCATCACAGCACATCCATCACAGCACGTCCATCACAGCACATCCATCACAGCACGTCCATCACAGCACATCCATCACAGCACGTCCATCACAGCACATCCATCACAGCACGACCATCACAGCACATCCATCGCAGCACATCCATCACAGCACGTCCATCACAGCACATCCATCACAGCACATCCATCACAGCACGTCCATCACAGCACGTCCATCACAGCACGTCCATCACAGCACGTCCATCACAGCACGTCCATCACAGCACGTCCATCACAGCACGTCCATCACAGCACGTCCATCACAGCACATCCATCACAGCACGTCCATCACAGCACGTCCATCACTGGCGCAGCCTAAACTAAATAGAGGGGCAGCCCACCCAGCACGTTCGTTCGTTGCTAGAGTGTTGCAGCCTAAATAAACATCCATTCTAGACTGGAACCTCTTTGTCGTCTCACCATGGGCCTTCCAGTAAACGGGTTTTTGTCACAACTGCACACTTGCAATCGCCCTACCAGGCTACCGCCACAATGAACCAATATCTGTTTCACTCGACACCATCAAACGCCACATGCGTTCACACTCCCTGCACTGCTCCCACCAGACCTGGCGTTGGGGTTTGTGTTGGACGAGGACTCCTACTCACCACAGGGCTTCAACTCCTTCTTCCACTATGCCAGCTCGGGATTCGAGCCCGCACAGGAGAACAGCCCCTCCTGGAATGTCAAGTCGTACTCCATCTGGCGCTTATCTGAGTCCATCTGGCCTGTCAAGAACCAAAGGGGCTGCGGTGAGTTGCATGGGGACAAGGGGATGATTTCCGTGAGTGGATTATAAAGAGCATGATTGGCTATCTGAGACGCGCTGATTGTGTCCCTCTGGTTGAAAGAGAAGGAAGATCAACGTGACTAGGCATGGAAGGCAATCAGCAAGTTTGTTGGATGAGATTGAATATTGTTGCATGGATTCCAGCTGGTTCGATAGTATCCATGCTCCACCTACAAGTTTCTGCCTTAACATTTGGAATCTTTCTTGAGCTCGTTTCCAGCAAAATATATTTCTGTATACATATATATACGTGTACATGAAGCAACAAACACCAACAACAATCGTCGTCTTCCTGCTTGTGCTGGCAGCGGACTCATGGGCATACGCAGTGGTGGCAGCGGTGGAGGCAGCCTACAGCATCGCCAGCAACTGGACTCAGCCGCCCATCCTCTCAGTGGAGCATCTGCGCCTCGCCCTCTCCTCCAACTGCGACGGTGGCTCGCCCACCAAGGCGCTGCAGTTCCTCCTCAACGCCAGTGCACAGGGCAAGGGGCTGCTGGAGGAGACCACATATGCTGCTTCCACCAAGGCAATACGCTCTCTCGGACGCAAAGCAGCTGCAAAGGTAGAGTATTGCGCACTTGAGAGTTATCCAGCTGCAAAGTTACGTTCTTCGTGGCCATTTTCTGTCAGACAGACAAGCTTGCATTGCTTGCAATACGGCGTGGGCTCGCCTCTACCCTCTGTAGGTTCTTTACCTCTGCTGTTCTGCTCAGTCCTTGTGTTTGTGCCTGTGCCCTGCCGCTTCCCTGCATGCAGCCCGTCATCAAGTACTACGGCATCCGGGGCATCGAGCGCACGGGGTTCTACGGGTGGTTTGGGCTCATGCTGGCAGTGCAGCGCCAGCCTGTCATTGTGCACATCGAGGCGTCCGCACCCTCCTTCCAAGACTACGATGGGGTAAGGCACCCTCCTTCCAAGACTACGATGGGGTAAGGCACCCTCCTTCCAAGACTACGATGGGGTAAGGCACCCTCCTTCCAAGACTACGATGGGGTAAGGCACCCTCCTTCCAAGACTACGATGGGGTAAGGCACCCTCCTTCCAAGACTACGATGGGGTAAGGTACCCTCCTTCCAAGACTACAATGGGGTAAGGCACCCTCCTTTCAAGACTACGATGGGGTAAGGCACCCTCCTTCCAAGACTACGATGGGGTAAGGCACCCTCCTTCCAAGACTACGATGGGGTAAGGCACCCTCCTTCCAAGACTACGATGGGGTAAGGCACCCTCCTTCCAAGACTACGATGGGGTAAGGCACCCTCCTTCCAAGACTACGATGGGGTAAGGCACCCTCCTTCCAAGACTACGATGGGGTAAGGCACCCTCCTTCCAAGACTACGATGGGGTAAGGCACCCTCCTTCCAAGACTACGATGGGGTAAGGCACCCTCCTTCCAAGACTACGATGGGGTAAGGCACCCTCCTTCCAAGACTACGACAGGGTAAGGCACCCTCCTTCCAAGACTACGACGGGGTAAGGCACCCTCCTTGGAATGATGATAAGGCAAATAAGCATGGCAAATGGATTGGGCTAAGAAGGCGATTAGGAATGCGTAACAGTTCATTTGCTATCCGTATGTATTCCTCAAATGGATTCATGAATCCCCTGCAACGTGCCAGCAAGCTTGGCACTCAACGTATCTCTCTCTGAGACTGTGGGCTCCTCAAGAGCAAGTCCTGCGCCACGGCCAGCTCACCACGATCCTGCACAATTTCCTGTGACTTAGTTTGGGCTTGCCCATCATTAGTCAGAAGCCAATGGTGCTGCTCCAGCAGTGCAGCACAGCCCAGGACACGGATATGATGGTCAATGCCTCAAGCGCTATGCCCAAGCTTTTGTTGTCTTTGTGTTTGTGGGGTCCGCAACCACACAGCGGATGGGACCTCTGGCTTCGGGATGATTGTTCATGTGTAGCTGATCTGTGTCTCTCTGCGCTTCTTGTCTCTCGCGTCCCCTTCCCATCAGAGCGACGTGTACGCTGACGAGGGTTGCTTCACGGAGCATCTGAACCACGTGGTGCTCGTGGTGGGCTATCTCGTGGCTGGCACCGAATCTGCAAAGCCCGACCTGCCGCCGCCCTTCTGGATCATCCGCAACTCATGGGGCTCAGGGTGGGGCGACCAGGGCCACATGCGCATGGACATTCGCAGTGGCGACGGCATCTGCGGCATCAACACTCTCCCGGGTCTCGTCCCAATCGTGAGAAGTGAGTGCTCGCATTCCTTTCCCATTCGTCCTGGCCGTCGCATTCTTTCGAATCTTGCTTGACGCTTCTCACGTTCGTTGTCCGTGCAAGGCCCTCGGACTTCCCTCTTTACTGCACGTGTTCTTCATGCACCTGCATGTATCCACCTCCTCTCCGTGTCTCTCTATGTGGCCCTGTATTGCTGCAGATCCTGCCGACCCCTGTGGGCAGCAATCCTACAAGCACGGCGATCTAAACCCCGTATTCAACCCGTGTGGCCAGTTCAGCTGCATCAAGAAGAAAACCAGCAATCGCTGCACCTGCTCCGATGCCCGCTTCGCTGAAGTCAAGAACACCGATGGGTCGTACACCTGTGCCTATGGTAATTCGCACCGGAGCTTTGGTGCTGTGCACAAGTGGCGTCAATTCACACCATTGAACTGCCAGTATTCACTCTCATACATGGGTCACTGCCATGGGTCTGTTCTTGGCACCACCGCACTGCCCACCGCCCGTCTACTTGCTGCACATCACCAAAAAGCTGGTACTGAATTTTGCTGGAGGGTACTCTCCACAAGAATACACTCCCCGCAACTCGCCTCGCATCTCTCGACACCCCCTTGCCTCTGGCCTATGGACGTGTTGACCTTTTGCGCACCTTCACACAATTTCCACCCCCATGCCGCCCCCACCGTTCTCCCTTCTCCCCCAGTGGACGTGTGTGGGTCCAGCAGTCGCAACCCGTGTGTGGTGGGCACGTGTGTGAACGATGGCAAGGGCAGCTACTCCTGTGTGTGTCCCAGGGGCTTCATCCAAGGCACCATGATCGGTGGAGGCTTCTCCTGCACTCCTGGTACGACTCGTGCCTCGGTTGCCGTGTTGATGTCTCCCACCCACAGCTACAGCCATGGCATGGCCGTGGATTACCAGCCCACATTCATCATCACCCGTTCAATTTCTGCCAGAGGTGCAAGCTGGTCCAGGCCAATGCCCATCTCATCAATCGCCGATCCTGGCCGTCCTCTGCTGCTGCCCATGTTGGACTCGGGCTTCCCTGCAGATCATCACCCCATGCCCTGCTTTGTTCCTGGACCCCCATTGCGCATGTGTGTGGGTGGCAGGTCAGACGCAGGGCACGTACACGGTGGTAGCAGGCAACGTCATGTGCTCGCACATCTCAGCTGTCTTCAGCATGCCAACTGCAGACCTTTTGAAGCAGGTCAGCGCCGTAACACTTGCACCATTGAACTTTCACAAAAGGACAACACACACAACAGATGGCACTTTCTGATTCCCTCATTCTGCTTCCCTCATTCTGTTTCCCTCCATCCATCCAGCTTCCCCACCCTGTACTAGTGGGTGGGGTCACTCCACCACCACTCTGTTCTATCGACTTTTCGGATCTCTCCTGTAACTCCAATTGCACGGGTGCTGCATGTGCAGGGAGTGTCATGCGCCAAGCCTCTGCCCATCGGCAAGACGCTCTCAGTGGTGTTCAACATCAAGGACTGCAGTGTCTTCTACAGCACCAATGCTGTACGTGGCTCTCTCTCTGCTCTGCTCCCCTCTTGTAACTCTCTCACTGCTGCCTACCCGGTGCTTTCTATGCAATTACAGGCACCATTCTGAATTCTCGCAGATGTTCTGATTCTTTCTGTAGAAGATCGGAGCTTGTACAAACTACAAGGTGTGCATATGCATATTTTCTTTCTCACATGCCCCTTTTTCCAAATTGTCTCCCAGGGTGACACGTGCACGGGGGTGGCGCGGCAGGTGGAGCTGTGTGGGGTGGCGGCGTCGGATGCGGCGTGTGAGGCAGCATTTCAGGCGCTCAACCCCGCTGTCAACTGCTCCTCCCTCAGGCCCTCCCAGGCCGTGTGCATCGAGAGGGACCCCGCCAAGGCCAACCGCATTCCGGTGTGTGCGCAGTACTACAGGCCGCGGGCAAACGACACGTGTGAGAGCATTATGGACTCGGCGGCCCCTCCTCTGGGCGCCATGGAGCTGTACCGCCTCAACCCTGGCATCAACTGCAACCAGCTCATCCCAGCAAAGGACCACAGCTTCCAATGGCCCCTTGAGCGTGAGGTACGGTATGCTGCACGTTGTAGCATGCCGGTCCAGTGCTGCTGCCTTTTGACGCATCTCACGTTGCATGTTTGCATCATTGGCGCATTCTGATGTTAATTTTCGTGTTCTCTTACCCTCCCTCCCCCTCCCCCCTCTCTTCGTAAAAACAGATTTGCACCAAGAGTGCAACGTCATTTGCGATTGGGAGCTGTCCAACAGACAACCAGTACTACTTTATGCCCACTGACACCTGCACTAGTGTCCACGTCCAGCATTTCCATGGCATCAATGGGTGCTACCGGAAAATCAATGGGTACGAATGTGTAGACAAGATGACACCAGGAACAAAGGTCTGCCTGCCGAACTACAATAGTGCTCGGATTGGAGAATGTGTATATTGAACTTGATTAAAAAAGTTGGCACCAGTTCCAATGAAACTACTGTACTCCCTCATACAAAGCTCCTTAAAAAAATCAGCACCACCAGGTGGCATGAGCTTGATTGGAAACACACACCTTAGCTCAAGAATATCAAATGTAAAAGTCGGAAGTAAGGTTCAAACTATTATAGAACCGCGTGTGATTCCAATGTATCTGTACCATACCGTAATACCGTTAGGGGAAACAGTTGTATTGTATGGTAGAGGAGAACAAAATATCTACAGTTTCAAATAAATGTTCAGGAGTCTTATCAGGGTTTAAGGGTTTGGGGTTTAAGGTTTCACCATCCATAAACCCATAAACCCTGAACTCGTAAACCCTAAACCCTGTTGGGCTGAGAAAGGCCCTTAGGATCTTTGCAAGGCTAAACTCTGGGTAGGACTTGTTGTAAATGCGGAAGCGTATAATGATAAGTCTTGAACCACCTTGCGCTGGTATGTGAGGGCAAAGTAGATTAATTAATCAAAGAGATACAAGGCTTTTATAAGGGCGTGGTGCATCATATGCAAGCGGGGTCCAAGTCTTGGACCCCAGAGCGGGTAACCCTACAAATGTGACACAAACGCGCGCGAATGTACCTCCGCATATTAGGGATGTACTTGGAAACAAAATGATTCTGAAATCGGGGTCAAGCGTTTGACCTTCGCACAAGCGAACCGTAGGGTCAACCAGTCAAAAAAAGTAACATGTCGCGCTGTCGAGGGAGTTACGGGGAAACATACCCAGCCAAGGACTCGTGCGAAATTTGCGAGACGCCCATACAGGTGCCACGACACGCTATAGCGAAAATGTTGAATGAGCGCACCGCCGAGTTTGTGAACGAAGCGCGTTACGTAACAGAAATTTGTAATCTTGAACCTCGGTTTACAGCTTACAAGCTCAACACGTTGAACCTCTGTCGAGCCTGCAAAACGAACCCACGACGGATTGGACACCATTTTGCACATGATGCACCACGCCCTAAGAGTACAAGGAATATGAAAAGATGCAACTAATAACTGTTTTACTGTTTGCTGTTGCGGTTCGATACAGTGACGACTCGGGCAACTGCTCAATAGTGAGTCAGTTGTTTGTCCTTGCTGTCGCGCTGTGCTTGTCAGGTCAAAGGTCGCTGACCTTTGACTTTCGCGTAACCTCCAGCGGTTTCTTCACTTCTCAACCTCCAAGTGTTGACTCACCGATGCTTCGCTGTGTTTTGCCTCGTTTACGACTTTAGTGTTTCGACACACAACAGAAGCGTTCAATTTACTGGTTTCCAACACTCCCCTTCGCTTCTGGAGTGTCGTTGCTGATGACGTGGCCTTGTCCAGTCAGCAACATGCAGTACTCGAACTTCTGCTTTCCGAGCTTCTTGGTCAAGTAATCAGCTGCCATCTCAGACGTGGGGCAGTAGGACAGCTCGAGTCTCCCTTTCTCGATCTCGTCCTTCACGAAGAAATATCGCAGAGCGATGTGCTTCGCTCTGTTCGCAAATCCATTCTTGTTGGCTATGCGGATTGCAGACTGGTTGTCGCAGAACAGGGAGAAGTTGGGTAACTGGGCCAGCTTCGCCTCTTCCAGTAGTTCGCGAAGGTAAAGTCCTTCCTTGGTGGCTGAGCAGAGTGCAATATATTCTGCTTCAGCTGAGGAGAGAGCAATTAGTTCCTGCTTGCTCGACAGCCAAGAGATGGGCCCGATAGGCTCAAGTCGGTAGATGTAGCCGGTGCGCGAGCGCCTGTTGTCAGAGTCGCCGGTGTGATCTGCGTCGACGTAGCCAATTAGCTTAGGCATTGTAGTTCCGGTTTTGAGGTAGGTTAGGCCGATCGTCGGAGTGCTGACGAGGTAGTGAAGAGCGCGGTCGAGCTCTGCCATGTGTTCCGCTTCAGGTTTCTTGAGGTAGGTGGCGAGCTGATTCGCCGAGTACGATAGGTCTGGTCGGCAGGTGACGGCCGCGAAGAGGAGGCATCCCAGCTTTCTCTGGTAGTCGCGTATGCCGGCGGGCTTAAGTGGAGTGGAGCCTTCCCTGTCATTTCCGGTAGTGTAGCGGTATGGCGTTGAGATGGCGGTTGGGGTGAGTCCCAAGCGTTTGGCGATGGTGTCGGCATACTTTCTAGCGCTAAGGTAGATTGTGCTTTCTTCTTCCTGAATGTTGAGGCCGAGGTATTGCGTGACGGTCGATGATACTGTGAGAGTGAGATCCTTTTGCAGCTCTCCTTCGAACCAGGTAGTAACGCCGTCGGTCGAACCGATGTAGAGCAGATCGTCCACGTAGACGATGAGCAGAATGTAGTCGTCGCCTTTCGTGAGCCGGTACATGCCCTGGTCGTGCGGTAGTTGGCGGAATCCGATGCGGATAAGTCTAGCATGTAGGTACTGTTGCCACAGTCTCGGAGCCTGTTTGATACCGTACAGGGACTTCAGCAGCTGGCAGACTTGGTTAGGTTCTCCGTTTGATCCGTGTGGCAGTTTGACGAAGATTTCGGTGTCAACAGGTGCGTAGAGAAATGCATTAGCGACGCCGATTTGCCGCAGCTTCTTCTTCATGGCGGCGATCGCGAGGAGAATTCGAAGCGAGTTGTGTCGGCTGACCGGGGCGAACGTCTCGGTGAAATCGCGTCCGTGCTCTTGGTCGAAACCGCGCACGACCCAGCGCGCCTTAAACTTGTCGATGGTGCCGTCTGCCTTTGTTTTCACACGGAAAACCCATTTTCCGGTGAGTACCGTTTTGTTGCGTGCCACGCCGATGGGAACGACTTTCCAGGTGTTCCGTTCTTCCAGCGCTTTCAGCTCCCTGTCCATGGCTTCGCGCCATTTTTCCTTATGCTCCCCCCCAGAGCCTGCTGAACTGTGGCAGGCTCCTTAGGAATCTCCGAGCCGTGAACCGCGGTGACGAGGCCAAGTATCTGGAGTTCGCTCTGTGTGTAGCGGGGGAGTGTTGTGTCCTTGGGATAAGCTGCTTCGTCACCTGCTTCTGGGCCAGGTAAGAAGTTGGGTCCTATGCGTTCGGCTTCGTTGGTGTTGACTCGGGCGGGTGTAACGTAACCAGTGTCGACGAAGTCGTAGAAGACTTCGGCGTTGACGCTCTCGTGAGGGTTGTCGTCATCCATTGGGATATCCACTGAGCAGTAGGGGAGAGGTCCGGCTTCTTCCGAAGCTCCGTCCATGGTCTGCTCATCCAGGTCAGCTTCATCTGCTGCCGAAGCGAAGGCTCGGTCCCCACGAAATCCGCCTGTCACATCTCTTGAAGTTTCCAAGTTGTACAGGTACGTTGAAAGGGTGAGGCGTTCGTAGAAGATAACATCACGTGCTGCCACTGTTTCCTTTGTGTTGATGTCAAAAATCTTCCATGCGTTGTAATGTTTTTCGATGCCCAGGTGTAGTCCCCACTATGCGCATTGGGAGAATCGGCCGGCGCGTGCAGCTGGGGGTCGGTACTGTACCATGCAGCCGAAAACTCGCAACATTTTTTTGCTGCCCAATTTCCCTGTCCACAGCAGATGCGGTGATGCGTTGTTCGGGAGCGATGATGACGAAAGCAAGTTGTGCAGCATCACGGCGTGGTCCACTGGTGGTTGGGTAGCCGCATGCCACGTAGCAGCTTGCGCATGGTGTTCTGAAGGGTCCTGTTCATTCTTTCTGCTACACCCTGCTGTTGATGGGCGTAGGGAAGGGAGATGAGGCGCTTGATTCCTCGTTCTGCCAGGTAGTCATTGAACTGCTGTGACGTATATTCCCCTGCTCCGTCTGACTGGAAGCTCTTTAGCTTTACGCCTGATTCTCGTTCTGCTACTGGAAGCCATGCGACGAAGGCTTCGAAATCCATGTCGCGACTCGGAAGATTGAGGTGCCAAACGTATCGCATGGCGGCGTCGATGAAGGTGATAACGTAGTTATACGCTCCTTGACCGGGTTCACGATTGTACAGGATATCGCTGTAGACTTTCTCCAAGGGTGCGTACGCCGGTGCACTTGGGTTGTGGTGAGAGACGAAGGGCTGATGCGGTAAGTCTGCTTCTGGGCAAGTGAAGCAAGTTCCTCGCATTCGTCGAAGTTCTCTGCCGTCGGGTAGGAGTAGTGAGTCTTTATCAAGAACGCCTGCTCGTATCGTGTTGTTTAACGTTGTGTTGCTCGGGTGTCCCATTCGTTTATGCCAGAGATCTTCGTCAGCGCGATGTCCGGGTGAGCGTCTGTACAGGTCGGAGTTGGAGTAAAATCCGGCGGTGAGATTTGCGCTTCGATGGACTTCTCGTTGAGTTGGATTGAGCTACTGCGCAGGAGTTGGTGGTGTGTTGTCGATGAAGATTGGTGCTGTTGAAGGACCCGCGATTGGTGTCGATGTTGTCTCTGCTGCTGCCGATTCTGCTGCTGCCGATGTTGTCTCTGCTGCTGCCGATGTTGTCTCTGCTGCTGCCGATGTTGTTTCTGCTGCTGCCGATGTTGTTTCTGCTGCTGCCGATGTTGTTTCTGCTGCTGCCGGTGTTGTCTCTGTCAAATGATATATATGTTTAGGCTATAGTGGGGTAGCCAATATGGGGTACAGCCCCTTTTTAGGGTTTCATATTTGTACCAATCTCATTGATAGTTCATTCATTCCTGCCTACTATCTTAACATGGTTTCAGAGCAGGAGTTCCCTAGGACCTAACTCAGTGGGCCCACCGTTTTTTTCCGCCGCGTCGCGCCCTACTGTCGCCCCTAGCGGGCCCTACTGCCGCGTCGCGCCCTACTGCTGCGCCGCGCCCTGCTGTCGCGTCGCGCCCTGCGGCCGCGTCGCGCCCTGCTGCCGCGTCGCGCCCCGCAACCGCGTCGCGCGCGCTGCTGCTGCGTCGCCCGACCGCCGCGACGCGCGCGCTGCAGCTGCGTCGCCCGCCCGCCGCGTCGCGCGCCCTTCCGCCGCGTCGCCCGCGCCCTGCTGCGCTGCCCGCGCCTTTCTGCGCCGGCCGCGCCCTGCTGCGCCGCCCGCGCCCTGCTGCGCCCGCCGCGC